ATTACCTGGAAATACAGGCACAACATTAAAGTACTATACTGCAACTATATTCATTGAGTCACATTATGTCTGCCATGCTGCAATTGACTATGCCTGTTCTGGGAAACAATCTGCTGGTACATCTTAGGAATAGCTTGTGGAGCTGCATGATACAGACAAAATAGCCATCTTGTGATTATATTGCTATATGTTGCAGTTGCAGTTAGCCTTGTGATACAGTAAAAACACAGTGGTGGTCACTTGATTGGACATGTTGACCCTTAGATGTTGAGAGTATTCACCTTAACTTTGTTGTACTATTCACTAGGAGTGTAACAGTGTATTGTGGCGTTGTGATGTCATGATGGATGCGGGGACAATGTGCATGTGACAATGCATTGTGGACGAAGGGTAGTCTATTAATTATGCCATCTGATGCAGTTGTGCAGCAAACGTGGATACAGCCATCATTTTTTTATTCGAATTTTGTTCAAAATATGGTGAGAACATCAAATCGTGAACCCACTATCTAGAGTCAAATCAAATCTGGGGCAAGTATATCATTACACCCTACTATTTATTGTAATCACAAATGGTAATTTTTTAGTAAATTTTCCTAGTCTGACCATCCATAGTTTCAGCCTGGAGCCCAGCTACTTGCGTCCTGTTGCTATGACTATGATTGCAGCCCTCATGTTCAAATACAGCATTTAAATGACAAGAAGTTCCATTGATGGCTCTTGTGATAAAATTAAAGTTATTTCCAGCTACCGCTAAGGTGAATTTGTTTATCACTCAAGGATGTCAAGGCTTAAGTATACTATCGACAACAGTCTGTTTTTAATTCATAATAAAATATCTTTCTCTATATGAACACATTCAAAGATTAGACACATGAATTGAAAATTTAGAATCTACATTTCTGACAATTGGAACTGCAATAGCGTCATTTAATAATTCATTAAAATGTCAGTGTTAATAGATACTCTTAACACTGAATATTCCTGTATGTTGCATGTTGGCATTACAAATAATCTCCGCTTAATGAAATCCGTTTGCTCAGTGGCTCAGTAACTCAGTGGGTTTATCCATAGGGTAAGGTAGGAATCAGTTGACTTGCATGAAGAAGGAAAAGGTTGAATGGAGTAACGGAATTCATTAAGCAGCTTAACGAAGAGTCTTGTGCCAGTCAACAGGCCTGGTGGGATTAAAACAGCCCTGCTGATTGAGAGGCCGTCAACTCTTCCTTTCATCCTGCACTGGTTTCTCCTCCGGCTCCATGCCACAAAGACCACCATGCCTAAAAAGATTTAAGTAGCTGACTAAAAAGTAAAACAAACATACAGTGGTAGGAAAGGAGACAAGAGAGAGGCTAATTCTGTTCTTTTGCAAGTGGAAGACCAACACCAGCTTGAATTTGTTCCAATTATTGGAAAAAGCTTCTCGTTATGGTGCTTGTGTGTTGCGCTTCACGGAATTTTGTCCCCAGCTTCCAGACTTCAGTGCTCATCATGCAGAATTACAACTGATGCGTTATTGTGTGAAATGGGGCTTTTTGCACGCTGTGCACAGGTCAGTGCATGGCCCTGATTCAGATGCACATGACTGGTCTGCCTTTGATCTGGACAAAATGAAGAATTTGGAGCTCATGCTTCTTGAGCATGCGTGGTCCTGCTGTTGAGGCTGAGGACCTGATGTTCTAAGACTTGCACCAGTTTCAGGTGCAAATCTCACACATCCTGCCCATTCTGTTTATTGGCCGGCTGCTGGTGAAACACGAAATGCGCTTCTCTTGTTCATGCATATGCATTTGAGGGAGGGCTGCACAAAATGTACGAGGACTATGGAAAAAGTGGGTTTTGATCATATACAGCTGATTACATATTCCACTCAGTTTACTAAAATTTGAGCAACTTGTGGCAGCTTGTTTTGCGTTGATTCTCCTCTGCCTTCTAAAACCAGGCATATGTTTGCATTAGAGTCTCAAAAGACACGTTGTTAAGAGACTTCCTTTAATGATGGCAGCAGATGCAATGGCTAAATGGAGGCATGAGCCTTGAACACGTGCTGAAATAATGTTTACCATCAGAATGACACTGTTTACAGTCACAGCGCAAAATATGCTGTGATGCGGCCACAGTATGTGCGCGCATTCTGTGTTGTTTCCAGATTGCTTCACAAACTGTATTCTCTTAGCTGGAGTAAAGTTACTGCCCTGTACAATGTTTCGGTGGGAAAAAATCTTATTTTAAATAACTCTGCCATTTGTTGGTCACTGAAATGTTCTCTGTTTGTCTCCAGTTTGTTTATGGCTCCATTATTTCACTGCTACTTTTAAACACTGTCTCATGAGCAAGTAGTCGGTGGGTGGGGCTATGGCTGAACAATTAACTGTTTTTATACTGAAATCACATTTTGAAGGAGTGCAGTTTTCAAATCGCAAGGGCTCCAATTTGACCTGTATGAACATTGTCTTAACAGTTTTTAAGTGGGGACATTTACCCTAACATAGAGTGAACTGACAGTCTGGCACAGAACTTTAAGCATGCAAGCCTTAAGCCTGAAAAAGTGGATGTGTTATGTTTTTTGAGAAAAAAAGAGATGAGAAGAGAATATAATCGCCTTAATATCGCAATCTCTGCATTGGATAAAAAAACGCAATTGGATATTTTACCCAAATTCTTCAGCCAGGGCTACATTTAGTTTACATGATAGTAGTTGAAAGCTGCAGTCTTACTAAATCGGACATCAGGCACATTGTGGGCACATATTGCTGTCGCAATAAGACATGTTTTGTGCTGCACCTGTGGTCATACAAACATCTGTCCAGGAGAGCATTCATCAAAGTGTTTTTCTTTTTCATTCAGAAATATCAGTAGCATCACTGATAACCTGTATTACTGAGGGAGAGGGCTCAAGTCAGTGCAGGAAATCCATAGAAGCCTTAACCCAAGAGTATTGCAGCAGCCACTGCAATATCCTTCTTTCTCCCCATATTACTTTATACGGAAAGGGGGGTAATCAGGAGCTAGGCATTCTCGGGTGTGTGTGTGTGTGTGTGTGTGTGTGTGTGTAGGGAGGGGTGAAGTTAATTAAAACAGCAAGTGCACTAACATCCTGCACCGTCACAACAACAGGGAATGATTTAGACCCAGTGGGATATTAAACAAGCCCCCAACTTCTTCACTGCAACTGAGCAGGTAATGTTGGTTCTTTCCTTAATTACTTCGAGTGCGGGATGAAAAATTTTTTTCTGGCACAACCCCGAAGCATTAGAGATAAGATTATTCCAATGAGACCGCCCTAAAATAAAGTGGCACCAGGGATGAAATGTTTTTTTTTTCTTTCTGTACTAGCCATATGGTTCTTTTGGACAATGACTGTGTGGTTAGATGTTGTAGCAGGTGCTTATGGCCCGAATGATTTTGTTCCATCGGTAGCTCTGTGCACACTTTCTGACTCTGGCAAAGGGGCCAATGCAGGATGTGAGCTGTTTCCATGGTTACAAGCCCTACTCCCGCTGCCTAGCAAAAACTGTGTCATTATCCGGTGCTGTGGATAGAGGCCGAATGAAGGCGCAGACTGCGGGGCCGTTTCCTCTCTGCTCTCTCCCTGAGCCTGCCCATGTATCTTACACACATCATCCCAATTTGCTCCCTTTTTCCAGCCCCCTGCTCATTTCGGTCCCCCCTCTCCACATCCCATTCCAGCCAGCGCATTCAGCCCCGTAATGCTGCGTATTTTGGGAGTAAAGAACACGTAATCTGTGCTGATCATTTAAGAGCCGTAAAAAGCAGAAGTGGAAGTGAAAAATGGAGGTGCGGCTTCAGTGCATTTCATCTCAGCACTAAGGAGCAATTTAGGTAATTCACTAGGGAACTTTGCACAAAACACTTAGTGTATGAGCACCCTACGTTTACCTGGCAGACAGAGTCAGACAGTCAGATACAGTACTGCTCAAAAGTCAGAGACCACTTTTCGTTTGTCATTTACAGTCAAAATGGCAAGCAAGTACAAGTTATTCATTTTCAGTAGAAGGAAAACGAAAAAGAAAATCACACAAAAAGCCTCAACAACTAAATATAATACCATTTTTAACAGCTTCCAATCTTCTCAGGGCGCTGCTTGATTTCAGTCTTTCAGAGAAAGCTGCAGTGGTATTTCTCCACACCTCCAAAGTTCAGTCTAAGAGGTCGGTTTCTTTTTCTGCTTCTCATGACTCAAGTAATCCCAAACACATTCAGTGATGCTGTGGTAGTCAGTCCATTGTTCTGAGAACCCCAGCAGCTTATTTGTTTTATAATAAGTAACTAAATAAATAAATAAATATTCTATGCTGATTACATGCACTCAGATTCATTCACATAAAACTAAGACAGAAAATCTGTCCACTTTAATGAGAGTCTCCTTTCATTAGCATACACTCAGACTGGGTTGCATTTCTGTATGTGTGTGTGTGTGCATAGCACTAATCTCCTTAGGTAGGGCAGTGCCTGTCATTAACAGAGCTGTGTAAACCTTTGTGAAGATGAATGCCCGTAGACTCTCACACCTGCTCTGAAGCACCTCTCTTGAGCACTACACTCAAGTAGTGTTGCTCTGGGGATAGACCTGATGAGTTCCTCCATTGAGATCTGTGTCGACTCACTGAGAAAATGTGAATGTACCTGTACTCAGCACAGGCTATTCATACACCACTGTGATCTATAGTGTTTGTAAAGGAGTGGAATACAAAGGCATAGGCTTGATCTGAGCAACATGGGAGAAACATGTTGTATACTATATAAAAATGTATTAGAGAAAATGTTTTGTGTGCTGTATAAAAATAATTTGATCTCAGTCTGGTTTTAAAAAGTTTCAGAGCTATTTTCTAGCTTGTATAGGCCTCAGTCATGTGACTCACCACTGTGAGCATTGCTAAAATAAAAAGGAAAGAAGTCCTCGTTGAGCGAGAGCAGCCAGGGGAGGAGGGAGAATCCTGTAATCAGTGTGTGTGTCTCTCTCTCCTTTCTTGTTCACAGCCCCCAACACGGCTCCGTATGGAAGTACAGGAGGAGCCGAGGTCCTGCTGGCCTGCCCGTACCTGCTCCTGACGCTCTCCTCCCTGCTCTGCGTTTACTAGCCCTGAGGACAGCCATACACAATGACTGTAAAGAACCCTTTCGAGCATTTGCAAATCCTTTGACATCGCCGATGACTGGATCCAATCTGGTACTGTTTGTTTGGGAAGCAGCGAGGGATTTTAATCAGCAGTACTTATGTTTTGGATGGTGTTTGTTTTGTTTTTTTGTTTTTTTTCATCCTGTGGATTTTCTCATCATGTAAATACGTACAATTTAGGATTTTTCTTTTCCTCTCTCTCTTATTTTATTTTCTTGATTGCCCACTTTGTGAATCAGCTCACATTGTCCTCTTTTGGAGAGCTTCAAAATTAGCTGCATTTTGTGGGAGGGAGGGGTGGGAACGGGCGACATTAGAGGCTTTGTTGTTGGAAACGGCCGAGAGGATGCCCTAGTGTGCCACCTCCATCAGAGTGCTGCTACATCACACTTCCACATAGCCACAATGGGAATGCAGTCTTTTAGGTCCCGAGGGTTGACTAGCTGATTTCAATTCAGTTACATTTCACCAACAATCAAAAAAGCTTTGAAAAGGGAACATTTGAAGACGCTGAAATTATCGCAGTTGTATGGCAAATGACAAGCTAAATCTGCTGACACAGATTGGAGCGGTAGAGTATTTCACTGAATAAGAATTGTGATGTTTTGTGGACCAAAATTACAGCCATAATTCAATGATTCAGCGCATTATGCTATAGAGGCTCATTTGCCCCACACAATAAGATGAGACAGCGCTGAAGAGAGTAGCACAGTCTTATTGCTTATTCGCCACAATCAGCATGCCTTGTCTGCCACAATAATGTGACTGAAATATCCAGCTTGGAAACAGAGATTGAGAAATGTTTCCGTTTACATTGGCTGGCAAATAGGTAACAAGATTTGAGATGGTCAAATCTATTTGATGTTTCGATGACTATTTGATGATATAAGGTATGATTTAGGTGATACCTGAAATAGTTATTGCATGCACTGAACATGCCACAGATTTGGGCATGAAATGGCCACCTTTTTCAGGCTGAAAGAGCCACAGACCATGGAAACTGTGAGCTGTGGACAAAAATCAATATAAGATGTATTTAAATAAGTAATGTGAATATAATGTTATGTATAAAGATATTATGGAGAATCAGTTTTATGCACTATGTCAAATTTTACTGATGTTTACAAATTGACAGTATGCAAAAATGATTACCAGTTGATTACTGATCCTAATTATGACGATGGATTTGAATCTCTTGCATTTATTGAAATTATGGGTTTAATTTTTGCAGTCCACTTAATATGTCTCTTTAGGAAAATCATGTTCAGATGTCATACATGGTTTAGTCTTCGGGGCAACATTGACAGTTTCAAACAGAACTTGTCTGAACGCCTAATTTTGTGTCACTATAATCATCCCATTTGGTTAGGTTTGATTTCATGTGCTGGTCTAATATTTCTTTAATTTTATAGATTAAGTTCTATTTTGTTATTGTTATAATTTGTACAGGATTTTTATAATGTATTAATGCATCACATGTACTCCCTGCTTTGCTTTAGTCCGTGTGAAATTGTTTTGAACAGGGAAGCAGAAAAAAAGCTCATGTTCACTTCCCTTGTGAGGGCAGTATGGTATGAAGTGTGGATTTCAATATGTCAATGAATATGATTTGAAAGAAGTATGCAGTATGGCATAGTTTACAATGTTGTCTTTGAGTTTAGATGCCATATCTGTTGTTGATTATTGTCAAAACAAATAGATTCAATTAAAAAAAAAGTATCAACAGTTTATAATCAAATAATCTACTTTTTAACTCAGAGGGTGTGAAGCAGTTATATGATATTATAGAAGATAAGTCATGTGTGTATTTGGAGAAAGTAGAGTTAATTTTATATTCTTGGTAGAGCTCGTGTCTAGGTTTAGTTTAACCTCTACCCTAGTTCTCACACACGTTGTGTATTATGATGTGCAGAAATTATGATTGTGCTGCATGTCAAATGAATATGTACGTTAAAGGTGGCCAATGACCATAAATCAATATCTTTTGAGTACAAAACCAGTTTCAAGACTGTTTTGACTCATTTTCACTCACTGGAATAAATAATTATACAGCAAGTCCTCCAAGTACACCATAAAAGTTTTCTTTGACTTTGGAAAAACCCTGGCACAATAGTCCAGAATGACTCCCAACATGGATTTACATGGATTTTGTCTTGACCTATAATTCACTGTACTATTGTGTTTTTCTAAATTTTAGGTGAATGGTTTGGCGAAACATCAGACATACGCTTTTCCACTTGATGTAGTCAGTCATGTTTGGTGGTCCGTATTGCTTCTTTAATTTAGCGCTGGACCTGTGAGGCTAATGTTGCTAACAATAGAAGTCAGTAGTCACCCAAATCTTCTCTGTAAATACCCCAAATCCCCCAAAATCCACTCAAACCACATTCAGATCTCAGTAAGGTTGTGCAGACTTGTTGGTATTGTTTAGGACACAGTATGACTTACTGTGAACATGTGTCTAAATGCTGTGCAGCCATTTTAAACAAAAGAATTGTACTTACTCCCCTGCATGCATGTCACGCAGGAATATGGACGCCACAGATTACATTCACGGTTTCTGTTGTTTCTTTTGGTGAATAAATTACTGTTAATCTTGAATTTTCTTCTGAAGAGATACATTCATTCATAGATGTAATATCATAATGTAACCTAGAGCCCATATGTCAGCATGACACTTAAGAACATGAAGGGGAGTCAGAAGTCAGCACAGCACCTGTTGTCAAAAATGACTGTCCACCGCCAAAGCTACACAGCGACGTGTTGTTAATTTTTGTAGTTCACAGTAAAGTCATACTTTGTCCTAAACCATATCAAGATGTCGGTACAACCTTAATGAAGATCTGGATGTGGTTTGAGCGGGTTGAGAGAAGTTTTGGGGATGTATTTATAGAAATACTTGGGTGACTACTGACTTCTAGTCAGTAGCTTCAACATTAGCTTCATAGCTCCAGTGCTAAAATCAAGAAGCAAAATTTGGACACCAAATTGTCTCAGTTATTCAACATTTCTGGATTAAGTGGAAAATTTTGAATTTTTTGCCAAATCATTCATTTAAATCTCCTGTGTTTGTTTAAACTTTAACATTTCCTTTGCCCATTATAATTTCACATTTTGAAAAATACATAAATGTTGTGTACAATTTATGATAATTTCCGTATACCTACAGCACAACAACAAGGACCTGAGATTCATGATGAAACTGAATTATAGCTCAGCTTCATGAATGCTTTTATTTATACCTACTCTTGAAATGAAAGGATGGCCCTTATTTCGTACCAGTTCAAGAAACCTTGACACAATCTCACAGCTATTCCCCGTGTACAAAGAGGCGGCCTGTTCTTGTGCTTATTTTTCACTGCAGACTTTAAAGCCTCAAACTTCAATGAAGAAATGTTTTAAAGAGGAAGCACATTGGATTGCAATCAGGCCACAACCTGCCTCTTACTTCCGAGCTTTGCAACTGCAGTATTATAAGTGACATCAAAGTATGCATTAAACCCGAGACCAACACGAAAACTTAGGTCAAGGACGTTAACATTAACACATCATTAACGTAGTGGCACACGTCGAAATAGCATGTGCAGCTCTATAACCTTGATACGTAATGGGTTCTTGCTCAATCACTGTTTGCATTACTGCATAAGCTAAGAAATTAGCTTATGGTAAAATCCTTTGCAGTTCAGGCCCATAGACTAACATTCAGCGTGTTGAATAATAAATAGGTTGCATTTCATTATCATTCGAGAATGAGTCACTTTGGGGAATAAGTACTGTATAAAATGTGCCTTTTAAAGTATTATGTGATCTGTTGAATACCATAGAAAAGCCTCATGTTTTAACCTGCTATAGTTACAGTAGGGTCATAAACAGTATTTTTTGCAGTAGCCTAATGACTTTTTTTAGTACCTTTCCATCAAAAAACGTATGTAGTGTATGTCACAAAAGGAGCTGTCAGCAAATTTTCGCTATTATGACTTATATCTTATGAAATAATTTAGCACAAATTCTGTCAATAAGTATTCAGAGTGAAATATCAATGAAGACTTCATTAACATTGCCTAAGTGGATACCAAGTTAAAAACAGGACACCGAAACAGCCAGAAGGTACTCATGCATGCATAATTACTCTGAAAGTTGCGGCTTCACAAAAGAGTATGTAAATAACAGGTAAACGTGCTTCACATTTACATTCAGAACATCTAATGACTTGATAATTACATTTCGGGCATGCATTAATATTCAAAGATTTTTTGTTTAATTGCTCGCATTGTCTAAGCGCTCACATTTTTCCCTCATTAACCCGAAATCCACAGTTTCGGAGATATAAAACTTGCACAGCATCTGCACACTCATCTGTGGCTTCTCTTTGCTGTATCTAAGTAGTCATAAAGACCTCCTGAGCTGTTGCTATTTTTAAACCACTTCAGTGCACTGGAAACAATTCGGCACTGTTCTGTAAGCCACCCCTCCATAGTTCATACAGTACATATGGTGTGAATGATCGAGCAGTGTTACATGGTTTAGTACCTACAGTTGTGCTTGAAATGGACATTTAATGTATTATACATATCCTCATAGTGATAAAGACTGTTTGGACTGATGTTGCCTGCTGCACACTATTAGCTTCTTTAAAAGAAAAAAAGACATTTTAGATGTGTCATGTCTTATAGTGAGCTGAGCTGTTGCTGGCAGGACAGAATTAAAAAAACGCTGTCAGCTCCATCTGGGTCTTGCCTCTCTGAGCCAGCCGTCTTTCTGCGAGTCAGTTTTCAGAGGGCTTTGTGTGTGGTCAGGAGGGGAGATTCTTCTGACCTGGCGGTTAATAAAGTCCTTCCTGTGCCTTTGTCAGTTTTTAGGTGGAGGATTTTGTGGAGTGCCGGAGGGTGCTGCCTTAACCGGCTGCGAGCGCTCACTCTCCCAGCAGCACTCCGACACATTCTGTCCTATCAGAGAAAATGTTATTGCTTTTCAGTTTTGCAGGTTAAAATTCTGTCCTGTTTGAAAAATCGCCAGTACACTGCAAAGTGGAATTATTTTAAATCTAGACAATATATGTAATATTTATCAGTGTGAGAGTCATTTATGAGATTATTCAACCTATTTCTAGGCTTTTACTTGTCGTTGCAATGTCAACGTTAACTTTGGTAGTTCATATTCCTGGTTATATTAAATCATTAAAATCATTTAAAAGACAAAATTATTGAATTCCTGCATTCTTCCATCAAAATGTACTAACTATTATCTCTAGATTTGACTACAGTTTCCTCTAAAACTGACAATTGCCTGCCTCTAAAACATCATCTGAGTTTTGATTACATCACTGTGCACCAACAGGCAGGGAAAAATAACATTAACCCCCACCTATTAGTGAGCAAGATCCTCCATAATTACGTTTCACTCAGAAATATGTTACGATATGGACGGAATGTGTAATGATTTCCAATACATTGATTTTGAGCTATTTTATCCAATAAAATGATCTTACTACATTCACATATAGTTTGCTTGTCTCAAGAAATAATGAATGTGAAGAAATTTTCCTGCAGTAAAACAAGTAAAAACAAGTAAAAATGACAAATAACATTCTCACAACAATCTGATATTAAGAAGGATTAAACACATTGCCTGGATTTAAGACGATTTCCCAAGATTTTCTGCAGTGAGTTTAGTTCTGGTCGACCCCACAGGGCAACGTGAAGAACAAATACCTATTAGAGCAACATAAAGAACAAATATCCATTAACTTTCACCAGTTCCTGAAACCCAGCTGGTGTACAGCTTCTACATTTGTGTGACTTTCATATGGTACAGAACATTGTGATGACTGACTTGAATGGCATGAATGTATTTAAGTGTTTAGATTCATTCATTGATATTCTATTCGTCTGGATAATAAAGTAGCTGCCAAATGAGAACGTGTGGCTTCTAAAGGTGTTTTTTTCAGAGTATTTGTCACCGTGTCCCCTCATTATTTTCAGTGAGCTGGAAAATAAGTTAGCCAGGCAACGATGCAGTGTTCCTGATAAAGCTATACGTCCTTAACTGGGCTATCCAATCCTGAGCGCTGTGTGACACTGATGAGGCCGTTTCATTTATGTGAAAAGCACTGGATTAATTGCCGTTTAAAAAGAATAGTGCAGGGTTCTACAAAAACACTCAGTGGAACTGGCAGTATCTACAGTGGCTTTCTCTGTCTCTCTCTGTTGAGATGCATCAAATGTCAGTTAGTCTATTTTGCCATTTGCTTAGTAAAATGGCAGTGGGAACTTGCATAGATGCATCTAACATCCATATCTTAACCAATAATAGCTATTGTTTGAGTCTCTTTAAAGAGAACCCCCTCCGTTTTCAAAACCCCAACTGACAGCAGGGTCTGCATCTTATTCACTCTTTTTTGTACATATGTTCATTTGATTTTGTAAACTTTTTTTTTCCTTGAGGATAGTGATCGTATGAAATGAACAGCATAAATATATCTGCATATCTGGGGGCCCAAGTTGTTTTTTTTTTTGTTTTGTTTTTATTTGTTTTTTTCTTTTGTCAAATCATGATGCTGAAAAATTCTGTGATGAGAAATTTGAAATGGTCATCTTTACTTAAATGTGTATGGAGGTACTTTAGCCACCAGGGATATAGTTGTATATTTATAGGCTCTAGATCACTGGAATGACATATATGGCTTTAAGTGGCATTGATATATATTGATATTTGTCGAGAAAAAAAAAGAATCATATACTTTAATTACTTTAAAGCTTACATTGTGAATAGCACGTATGCAAGTTCATTTTCATCATGTTTGATGTAATTTTGTAGCAGTGGTTTGATACTAATAAATGGAAGTTGATGATGGAACTGTGAATCGTGGTTTGCGAAATGAATTAAACAGGTATTTGTATCTTTAAGCTTTTGCATATATCTTTCAAATATTTCTTTTCCAATTACATGGACGGCACTGTGCTATTAAGCCAGCGTCCTTTGGGCAAAAATGGGTTAGATTCAGTGTTGTCTGCATAATGTAATGTAAAATTAACTTTCAGCTGAGCCATAATTGCAAAATATTGTGAGCATATTTCATTTGTACTGGTGAAAATGTTGATTATTAGATTCCAACATATGAGCCATATTTGGAGCCAACGTCAAGGTTGAATTTGGTTTTCTGCTCTCGTTGGACCCATTTGAAATTAAGATTGCAATGCGTCCCTTTGAGATGCCTAACAATTTACATCACAATGGTATTTTTCTGTGCACTGCAATAACTGAATGGATCTGCGTGTGATAGCAGTGTTTTCTATTTTTCTAAAAATTGATCCCATTGAGAGTGAATGATTCTCTGAGAGCTGGACTATTAAAGGCTAAAGGGGCATTCCAGCCTGAAACTAGAGGTTAATATGGTATTTGTTGGGTTGTGCAGTATTCTGTAGCACAGCATTATATCCCAGATATCATAACTTTCTAACTTCATAACTTTTTTAGCATGAATTTTCCAAATCATCGCTGTCCAAAGAAAAACAATTATCTCCAAAATGGTAACTTTACAGGAGAAGGCAAAAACGCTCTTTACTGTCAATGCAAGTTGATGTAAAGAGATTTTATTTGAAGCAATTTTGAAGCATTTCTATTCGTCCAATCATCATGAAATCTTCACACAATGTAAAGGACATTGCTGAACTCAAATTATGCAAAAAACTAAAACACAAAAAGTGGAGATACTTGTTTTTTTTGGACAGCAACGGAATACATCATCATCGTCACTGGAAATCCCTGTGGTGTCAACCAATCCTGACTGCTATCCAAGCCACTGATCTATATGCTAATAAATACAAACTCCTACCTTGGTTATTAATTGTATCCTTTATTCAGCACACAAAAGACTCCAGAGTCTAGACATCTAGATAGGTAGGTAGCTTCTTTAACTTCTCATCTGACAACAACCTCATCTGGCAAGTCATTTCTACCATTCAAGTAATCCATTCTCTCTGTTGTAGTGATTATGTGGAGACAGTTACCGTAATTCTACAATTGCTGTATAATATTCAGCACCCCAGCAGTTATGTTAACTACCTGCCTTCTGTATGCTCTGGCCAGTTTATTGGGGGGCAGGGTGGAGTAAGTATTTCAAATAGCCTGCCCCCAAATATCCACTCCACTCAAAGCAGTTGAAGTTTTCAAATTTACCTCCCACCTTCAAGACACATAATCAGAAAGACATTTTCCCAGCGTTTCAACCAAAAATCTCACTCTAGAGATTACTGCGGACTCTTGTATGATGAAATTAGGCATGTTCATAACAGAATGGGTACATTTTTCCTTTGGCCCGGAGTGTCTCTTTAATTTTTGCTCATCTGAAATTTCATTGGCTGCCATTGCCACAGAGTACAGTCTACTATTTTGGAAGTCATAGCCTCTTGGGAGGCAGCTCTCTAGATGTGTGCTTTGTAGGAGAATTAGCTATAATCTGGTTTGCTGTCCTGTTCTTCATTTATGCAAAGGTCTGCACATTTACATCTGCTTCCAGTTTTGCCCTCAAGACTCTATGTACAGAATCTTTTTACTTCTCAGTGTAGCTTTGTCTTTCACTGCCGTAGCGCATGACCTCACAATGATCTCAAGCTAATTCATTCAACCCGAGTTTGCAGGAGCGTGATTTAGTGCTCCGAGCCCACCGCCCGCCTCCGAGGGATGGCCTGCCTGCAGCTTATTTATTTTTCATTTGAAGATCTGCCCAGGTCATTGTCAATGGTCCTCTAAAAGCATGATTTAATGGACCACATCATGGGTGTTGCTCTGTCCTGACAAAATGGGAAAATAAATAAATAATAAAATAATAATAAATAAATGAATAAATACAGCTTGTCTAAAGAGCATGACGGTCGCTACCAGTACTTCACCATACACAGTAATAGCAGCATCATGGCCATTTACTTGCCCATATGAAAAATGCAAGGCTTTCTAAAAGCTGTGTTTTCCCAGTAGTTTGAACACAAATCAACATTTGATGCACTTTCAGTTCAATTCAGGTTTCTGCAGATGTCATGTTTCAAATGACTTCAAATGGCACGGTTAGAGAAGCAGTATTTTTGTTACTTTTTACACTTAAGAATTGTAATGCATGTCTGTTTTATTGATATAGAATCCATGTATTGAGTAGGGTGAACATAAACTTACGTTAAAAAATCCAGACATTTCAATTTAATTCATGGCTATCTTGGTTAATCACATATTGCAAATGAACAGAGATACAACCTAATTAGAAAGTGCTGGTCCTTCTGAACCATCACAGCTTGTAAGGTACAGGACTTTCCCCTAAATAGGTAAACTAAATGGCCTGCAGGCAATTAGAAAAAGTATAGTGTAAATCCATTGTTTGAAGACTTGCAATATGTCAAAGGATCCCAGCTGAGTCTTTGTCCAGCAGATGTTGCTGTAGCTCTAAACGAATGAGTCTCACTCCCACTACAAAAGGCAGGACAACAGGACATTTTCTGGCCACTGAATACTTGCTATTGTTGCTTTACAAAAGTAAATACAACATTGCAGGGGATTAAGCTTTACTCAACAGGACATTTTCTCCATTGATGGCTAATAGCTCTATGGGACATGTTCTCTATTGGTGGTAAATAACTTTGCTAGTTTG